CGACCCTCTCGTGGGGTCCCAGAGTCGGGATGATCTGCCCTGCGTCCGGAAGCCAGTGCGTGATGTCTGCGGCCAAGTATTCGGCTGCCCGGAGCTTTGTAATGTCCTCCTACTTGACGGAGGAGGCCATCCACTTGCCTCCCGCTCCAGACATGTTTGACTATGCGGAGAAGGTGAGAACTGGGGCACTGGAGCTCGAGCGTGCGAGAATGGATGAGCGAAGAAGAAAGGAGGCGTGGGTAAAAGAGGAGAATCCTTATCTCTTTATAAAGGCGGTAGAAACTATGCGCCTCCCCACTTGCCTGTTACAATCACTTATTTCCCAAGCGCCATGATTGATGGCGTGGTTGGATTACCCATACCTGTATTGATGAGAATCCCGTGATAAGGGGACACGATCTCTGCTTTGACAAGACGTGTCAAGGAAACTGCCTCGCATTACGTGCAGTAGCAGGTTGAGAAAAATGGTTCGAATAATGACCGGATTGTGGCGTGATGTCATGTTGTAAAAAGCTGTCAGTAGATTAGATTTGCGGAATATTATACTCTCTACGGTGGTATGTGGAATTTGTTTTGCAGAGCCGGACACGATCCTCGTGTTCAAAATCCTCTATGGAGTATTCGGAGAAGGAACCCGCCTTGCAATGCCGAAGACAATTTGCGCTCCGGACTCACCGTCATTGAAGCCTGGTACAAGGGCTATTGAGGGAGTCCGGGATTAAGGGGTCCTCGGACAGCTGGACTATATACTTTGGCGGGACTGTTGGACTATGAAGATACAAGATTGAAGACTTCGTCCCGTGTCCGGATGGGACTCTCCTTTGCGTGGAAGGCAAGCTTGGCAATTCGGATATGTAGATCTCCTTCTCTGTAACCGACTCTATGTAACCTAGCCCCCTCCGGTGTCTATCTAAACCGGAGGGTTTAGTCCGTAGGACAACAACAATCATAATCATAGGCTAGCTTCTAGGGTTTAGCCTCTACGATCTCGTGGTAGATCAACTCTTGTAATACTCATATCATCAAGATCAATCAAGTAGGAAGTAGGGTATTACCTCCGTCAAGAAGGCCCGAACCTGGGTAAACATGATGTCCCCTGCCTCCTATTACCATTAGCCTTAGATGCACAGTTCGGGACCCCCTACCCGAGATCTGCCGGTTTTGACACCGACAGTGGCCTAATACTCCTTCCACCACTTGCCTTCTAAGGCCCATTGATATTGAATTAAATATAAAAGCCCTCTAACAATTACTAGAGCCTTTTATATATAATTTACCACCTCTAAAACATTTTGCACCTATATATTATTATCGATAATACCCGGCATTGCCCGATAAACTTTGAAACCCTTCCGGCTCGTCTTGGAACTATTCTGAATATTAACGAAACTATTTCACAAATAAATCCTCGATAATCTCATCCTACTAACACTCAGTAGATTGTGATTACCTTAACATTATGACCCTATAGGTTCGGCAAACCATAACATGAACGAAACCCCTTCATTCAATGACCGATAGCCAAACCGTGGACGTCCATATCGATCCCTATGATTACAGAATGACATTCGAGTGCACCTTTGGTTATCGTGTGATGTTCCCTTTGCTTCGTAATACTTTACAAAACCTGAGGTGAGATATATCAGTATTTTCTTGAGTCATACACATGCTCATTATACCGGTCTCCTAGTTGCCAGTTTTGTTCTTCTTTCTCATTGTAGTGTTCCGACATCCCCGTGACGAAATCACCTGTGTCTGGCTAGAAGATGATGGATACCATCACACCGAGAGGGACCTAAGTGTATCTCTCCATCGTTAGAGGACCAAATTCCACTCCCGATATATCGTGTCCCAAGTCAAACTTTCCAATGAATCTGTAAGTTGTCGTTATGATCACCAAGTTACTGATGACGTTTGTGAAACACCAAAGCTCATCGTACGGCAAGAAGTGACTATGTTACTCTCATGGTCTAAGGAATTAAAATCACAGGTTAACACTTCGTGTTATTACAGTTGAGTTATGACGATATTATCTCAAAGTATAAAAAACAAGTATTTGGGTTGATTCAATACTCCCAATGTTGTTTTGAGACCATCGTTACACTTAACGACATATCAAGATCCGGAAAACGTGATCACCAACTGAAAGGATCGATATAGTTGACTAGAGGGGGGTGAATAGGAAACTAATAATTTTTAGCTATTCTTTACCAAATTAAACTTTGCATCAAAGTAGGTTGTCTAGATATGCAATTAGGTGAACAACCTATATGATGCACCAACAACAATCACACAAGCAAGCAAGGGATATAACACAAGTAAGCTTGCAAAAGTAAAGGAGCGAGATAACCAAAAGTGGAGTCGGTGGAGACGAGGATGTGTTCCCGAAGTTCCTTCCTTTTGAGGGGAAGTATGTCTCCGTTAGAGCGGTGTGGAGGCACAATGCTCCCCAAGAAGCCACTAGGGCCACCGTCTTCTCCTCACACCCTCACACAATGCGAGATACCGTGATTCCACTATTGGTGCCCTTGAAGGCGGCGACCGAACCTTTACAAACAAGGTCGGGGCAATCTCCACAACTTAATTGGAGGCTCCCAACGACACCACAAAAGCTTCACCACAATGAACTATGGCTCCGAGGTGACCTCAACCATCTAGGGTGCTCAAACACCCAAGAGTAACAAGATCCGCTAGGGATTAGAGGGGGGATCAAATTTCTCTTGGTGGAAGTGTAGATCGGGGCCTTCTCAACCAATCCCGAGCAAATCAACAAGTTTGATTGGCTAGGGAGAGAGATCGGGCGAAAATGGAGCTTGGAGCAACAATGAAGCTTTTTGGGGGGAAGAGGTGAGTCAACTTTGAGGAAGAAGACTCATTTATATAGTGGGGGGAACAACACTACTAGAAAAAAGGCTACTAGCAGCGCGGGTAAAATGGCTACTAGCAGCGCGAGTACCCGCGCTACTAATATCACGCTACAGCTAATAGTTAGTAGTAGCACGGGTGAAACCCACGCTACTACTAACATTTTAGTAGTAGCGCGGGTGCAATCCGCGCTACTAGTAATGAAATAGTAGTAGTGCCTCAGGTTTTTTCCCACGCTACTACTAAAAATTTAGTAGTAGCATGGATGCAAACCCATGCTACTACTAACGAAGTAGTAGTAAGGCGTTTGGTGTTTTCCCACGCTACTACTAACTAATTAGGAATTAAAAAAATAAAATCCACCAATTCCATTCTATACATACAATTCCATCTAAAACAAACACATATTTGCAATAAACCAGCAGCATTACACATCATTACTAATCCAAGATTTATAATAAACCAGCGGCATTAGAGCACATCCTGGAAGAGCATACATATTGTCATGGCTTTTCATGCCTTCAATTAAAACACCTACACTTCTTGCCAAGTCACTTACTCCCAGCTAGTGCAAACACAGCTAAAAGCAAACCAAAATGCATAAAAACACCAAACAGTGGCATCCTATCTCTTCATAAAAACACCAATCAGCGCTACCTCCAATCCTCGGCTCACCGGCCCGGCCTCCAGCATCTGCAGATATGTGCTCTTCAGCTTGCAGTGCCTCCACGCCTTGGTCCAGCATCTCCTCGGCACCTTCCTGAGTTCCTGCCAAATTTATCAAAATTATGCATATTCAGATCATAGATATTCAGGAAATTGGGAGCGAATAGGAACATACATGACATATGCATTACTATTGGAGAAGACTTGGTAAACTGCTTATACAAGAAATGGACAGGAAGAAGTAGAATGGCCAATATTCACATTCGTATAATTTTGACCTCAATAAAATTTGAGACATGTAACAACTCAGACTCAGTTTTATGTGTTTACAGTGTACTTTGCAATACAAGTTGGAAACCTGGAATAATAGCCAGAAAAAGATTGGTACACATAAGAAATTGATCTTAAAAGAATTTAAGAACCACAGGGGTCTACAGGTTTACTTAGCCTACAAGTTTACCTAGCTAGTTTAACAGATTTCTAACTTAAAAAACACAGGGGTCTCAGTAGCAGCGCTCAACAAACCGGTTACTTTGCATTTGGCATGCAGAGTGAGATAGAGGTGGATAAGAAGTTCAAAATGTCTAAAAAAGCATGGTTGTTCTGCCTCTAATTTATCTTCAGAAGATCAAATCAAAGAGTTTATGAGCACAAACTATTCTTGCTACTTAAGTCCTCCGTCCGTTAATATAGGATCATTTTGCAAGATAAACACTGAGGGAGTATATGGCAACTCCATTAAGGAATTTTTTGGTGAATACTCCCTTGAGAAATTAATCAAGATCATCACTCAATTTTGCTTTTCTGATTACCACTTCAAAATGGCAACGAAAACAGACAAACAAATGAATCATTGTTATGTTCTTGAGCTTGGTTAGCTTCGCCACGAGCACATAAAAAGTAGCAACTACAAAATAGTGTAACGACAACTACCAATCAAAATAATGAACTATCTAGCATGAGACAAGCAGTGTGATAATTATGAAAGCTGGGAGATAACTAGGACGCAACAGAAAGTTTGCCACTTGATATCGTCGACGTAGATAACAACGATGGTGGTAAGTTGTTATATGCGTGAGTACAATCGACACCATGCTGAAATGTTCACTCCCTCAAACTGGAATCTCTGGAGGTCCAGGGTGAAATAGCCTGCATCATGACAGCCTCCATACTTATATAGGAGCAAGTACCTCCCTGTTCAACCAATGAAGAAGTATTGATAGTCCAGTAAAATTCTCTTCTCTCTCTGCCACTAGCTGGAACTCCCTCCACTGTTTCCCCTAATGGTATATTTCATGTAAGATGTGTTAAATGCACGCACAAACATCCTAGGCCTGCCTTACCCTCCCTCCACAATTGCTAGTCCGAAGGCACATATAAGAACAAACAAATTTGTATGACAAAATGATGTAGTGGATTACAGAACTCCTCACTTGTCCACTAGCACATATAAAAAATTAACTTCCTACTTACAGTGGCAAGAAAATCTTATATGAATGTGTTATAATAAATAATGCTAACCATGAAGTCTTCTTCCATATAACAAAGGAGTGACGAAAACAAAAAACCTGTAATTCAAGTACGACATGCAGTTAGTTAATTATTTGCATGTCAACAGTTCTAATGTCTAGCTACAGATCTTCAAAGTAAAGATTATGAACTCTATTAGACATGATTATATCAATTAGACCTAATACAAAATAATTCAATATGTTGTATATCCGTTAAACGAAGTTCAATCTATCTTCTGATTATTAGTGTTTCAGTTAGGTGATTAGTCCTTCTACGGCCGCCGGTTAATAGGTGAGCCATGACTTTTTACTGTAAAAAATGCAAAAGAAATAACAGGTTACTCCATTGATCTAACTAGTAGTGAATGAGCTAGTGTAGGTTACTCCATTGAATGAACCCAGCTGGTGTATATATATGGACGCAGCCACCACCAGTGGATACAGGTTCTAATCAAATCAGACTCACCTATTAACCGACTTGGACTACAAATTCCTGGATGTTATTACAGGTTACAGGTTCTGCTAAATTTTAACATCCTTTGACTACGAACTGAAAAATTATTTTGGACATGAACAATAGTTACTTGCACAATCTTATACCGATTTGTTGGTACAAAGACACAAAATGTTCAGATACGATACTTTGAGGATGTTGATGTGTTGCATAATGCCGGTTAATTACCTGAGTAGGTGATGCTGCACATGCACACGAGTTGAAATTAAACAAGAAAACCCCAACCAGTTCTTCAGAAGTCAGCACTAAATAAATCAACCGCTTGTCTAATTCTTTACTGCCAGAGATGGAGTGCTCGTTCCATATAGACCTACCAAAGAGCTAGCTAGCATGAAAATATGTACGGATTGGCCGGTAGATGAGTGAGCAGGAACAGTCAGATCAAACTAGCTATAGGCTGAATCAGGTTAGATTGATTTTTGCCATGTGCACATACAGATTGATTTTTCCAATATCAAGAGAAGGAGAGACAAGATGGACCTTGACTTGCTCCATGCATGGCGTCATTGGTGCTAGCTGGGTTGCAGCAGCGGAAGAGCAGTGTCCAGAGATGATGCGCGGAGTGAGATGTGGTGTTATGGCAAAGAACAACAATCCTTCCACAACCATTTGACAAATCTTCAATGCAAACAAACGCTCCAGGCCGGTCGCCGGTGGCTAGCTGAAGAAGGCAAAAGCTTAACCATACCTACAAGCGATTTCACCTTGTTGCTCTGCAAGTGCCCGACGAAATGCCACCGGATATCTTCTGGAAGCTGCGGAAGACAGGAGAACAGAGCAGAATCAATCAGCCAATAAACAGATGGGGATCCAGCCACCCAACCCAATCCAGTCCAATCCAATCCGGGGGAGGTGGCCTCACCTGCGGCGCCTTGGTGACGAACTCCTGGACGTAGTTCTCACCGAAGCAGCGGTGGCCGGCGTCGTAGAGCTGCCGCAGCAGGGACACCAGCTTGGTCTTCCCGATCGCCACCACCCGCACCGCCTCCGCCGCCCGCCTGGACTGCTCCGCCGCGCTCCCCGGCCGTGCCAGCACCGCCCGCATCGCCGCCGCCGCCGCCACTGCCGTCCTCCTCTCCCCTCCGTGGATCCAGATGCCCCGCCGTGGGCATGACCGATCCCGATCTGACGGCGCCCGCCTGCTCGATCTAGTCTAGGGGCATATAGATGGATAGAAGGTGGGGGAAGGTGGAGGGGATGAGGGTGGAGGGCGTCGGCCGGTGGGATCGCCGGGCGGAAGAGTGCGGCGGCGGCTGTGGATGAGAGGAGAGACAGAGAGAGTTGTTGGGGTGAGGGTCGATTGGGGTCGGTGTGGTGTGGGGTGGACATCCTCAGTAGTAGTGTGGGGTATCTCGCCTCGCTACAGCTATTCGCTTAGCAGTAGCACGGGTAGCAGGAGCGCACTGCTGCTAAATCTAGGGTGGTGGGTACTGTCTGTCGATTTTAGTGGCAGTGTGGTTCCACTGGGCTGCGCTACTGCTACACAGTTACCCCCCAAGAAGCCCCGCAGAGAGCGGTACTACCGCTTGGGCGGGCGGTACTACCGCTGAGCCAGCGGTACTACCGTGCCACCTAGCAGTACGGCCGCGCACATGAGAGGAGCAGGGACCTGGACCCAGAGTGGTACTGCCGCGGAGGAAAGGGCGGTACTACCGCTCGGGAGCGGAACTACCGCGGTGGTAAGGGCGGTACTACCGCTCGAGAGCGGTACTACCGCCGCTACTGCCGCAGCAATTGCCGCACAACCCGACACGAGAAAACGAGGCCTCGAGTTGAGGCGGTAGTAGCCCGGAGCCCCAGCAGTACTGCGGCGGAAGACAGCAAGCGGTATTACCACTGAAGAAGCGGTACTACCACTTGATGAGCTTCAGCGGTACTACCGCGGAGGCCCGCGGTACTACCGCTGGGACCAGCCAGGGCAAGCAAGGAGAGGAAGGAGAACTCCATCGAAGCGGAAAGGAACAGTGGGTGTGATAAGGATGTATATGTGTTGATTCCACCCTAGCCTTACCAAAGCGGATCCCCTCTTGATAGTACGGTGACTCCTACGAAACTAGTCCACCATCAGAGAAACGAAGGAGCTACACCGTCTTGAATAAAACACCGAGGGGAGGGAATCGTCTCGTGCCAAAGGATGAATCTCTGAAAAACTCAACGCACACAATTAGTCTGCAAAAGCATTGTCATCAATCACCAAGACACCTTGGGGATAAATACGCCCTTACAATCTCCCCCTTTTTGGTGAATTGATGACAATACGGGATTTGCACAAACGGGAAAAGACATAGGACATGCGCAAACCCCACAACTCTAAAAATGTAGATGGGCTCCCCCTAGATGTGTGATATCTAGATAAGTGCTTTGGACTGCACGGCACACATACTAGGATCAACGCTCCCCCTACATTTTAGAGACCAACAACCTAAGCAGGATATATGAGAGCAGAGTATATAACAGGGTAAGCATGCAACTCATAAGATACCGAAGGACTAGATAGACATAGATAATGATAATATAAAGATAAGGTAGCATATGTCTCACACCATATGTCTGGAACTTAGGTCTCACTGGCACAAAACCAAGCAAAGCAAACGGCAAGAAAACACACCACAAAGAAGACACACTCGAAAGACAGACAACGAAACAACGACACAAATCCCTAAACTCTCTCCCCCTTTGGCATCGAGACACCAAAAAGAGAAAGAGTGTTGCTACGGCTCCAGGTGATAGCAAGCGAGGGTCTCAAACATCATATCCCAGCGGGAACATCTGCACCGCCGTCGTCGGTCGGGAACTGCTCGGCATCAGAATCTATCCACAGGCAGTGCTGCTGAATCCACTCCTCCTCCTCAGTAAGCTGGTCCTCAGATCCACTGTTAACGGTGGCACCCAACTGACGCATGAGTTCCTTGTGACGTCCCCTGGCCTTCTTCTCAGCCACATGAGTCATGTACTGACCGTGAGACTCCATGCAGAACAGCTTCTTCAACTTGAGCTTGAGCTTCTTTGCCCAAGAGGGCTCTGCCCCAGACAGCTCATAGTCATCATCATCCTCAGCCTCAGCCTCCTCCTCGGTCTCCATGGCAGCAGCAGAAGGTGTACCCCCAGATTTAGGAACATGAGTGCTCCAGTTGTCCTTCTTCCTCAGACGGTTGATCTCATGAGCCACCAACTCTCCAGTCTCGAGCATAACCTTGGGATAGGTCTGACTCCAGGCCTTCTCAATGAGCAGCATGATGAACGGACCATAGATCGGGCACTTGCGCTCAGAGATAGCAGATAAGAGCTCAAACCACATAACATGAGAAATGTCCAGGGACTCACCAGTGTTTGTTTCCTTCTCATGCTGGCAGAAGAGAAGCATGTCCACGAGATAAGAGTGAACCATATCCAGATTCCCGATGCGAGGGAAAAGAGTCTCACGGAAGACACGGTGAAGAATGTCCAGATGGGCAGACAACTCATATGATGCCTTCTTAGTTTCAGGGTTGATCTTCAAAGTGTAGTAGGGCCAAAGAGCCTGCTTGTGAGTGGAGGTTGTGTTGCGGTGAGGACGAAAGCCGACAGGAGTCTCAAGCCCATGATCTTCCACCCCAAGTAACTCCATAAATGCCTTCCACTTGACAGAAAGCAACTTGCCATTGGTCATCCAAGTCAGAGTCCGGTCCTCATCAGTCCCTAGATGGACAGTGGCATAGAATTGAGCCACGATATCAGCATCATAGTCCTTGTTGAATTGCATGATGCTGAGAATGTTCAGCTGAGAGCACATCTGAAAAGCTTCACCAAAGTACTCAGGATCCTGCTCCATATGGTCCGTGTCGATGGAGCACACATCAACATAGAGATTCTTCTTGGCCTTGAGCACATCAAAGAAAATGGCAAACTGAAATCGGTTCTAGAACGGACGATTGACCAAAGTGGGTTCTTGGTCATCATCATAAGGGTTGCGGCGACGCCTTGCCCAGAACTCCTTGGCATTCATCTGATGCACAGTTTTTCCCTTTGGCTTCGGCTTGACGGCAGACTTCTTCTTGAGTTGAGGTGGAGGTGCAGCACTAGAGGAACCTCCTGCTGACTCAGATGTGCGGTAACACTTCGACGTGGCAGGACCGGGGTTGACACGGCGAGCAAGATGCTCAGGATGTTCATCACCTGGAACCAAACACAAGAACACACAAAACAACCAGAAAGAACGAGCATAAGCCAACAACAACAACAAAAAGGATCAAGGAATGGTAGAGACAAGATGGAATTTGGCAGGCAGCGGTAGTACCGCGACCTGAAGGCGGCAATACCGCTCCAAGCGGTAGTACCGCTCCAATGAGAGCGGTAGTACCGCTCGAAGCGGGGAAACAGCGGTTTCCTACTGCCGTGGTCAGATCCGGCACTACCGGCCTACCAAATTCAAAAATATTCCTACCAAATGCTAATCCAGGGCGCCTAGATGCCTACTCCATCCTACTCAAGCCTAGATTTAGCCGAAAATCTAGAGATGCAACCACTATTGCCCCTAAGATGCTAGATCTGAATTCTAGACAAAAAGAGAGAGGGAATGGGGGCAATACCGGCATCCATGGCAAGAGGACGAGGTGGGGATCGACTCCACCGAAGAAAATGGAGAGGGACGCCCCGGAGAAGAAGATCAGCCGGAGCCCTCCCGCGGTGAGACGGTACTGGAGAGACGAAGAGGAGAAAGGGGGCGAAGAGAATGGGTATGGGGGAGAGAAACCTCCCCCTGCTCCGATATAACCCCCTGATCCCGCTTCGCAGCGGTAGTACCGCGCTGGTGGGCGGTAGTACCGCTTACAAGCGGTAGTACCGTGCACCACCAGTGGTAGTACCGCCCAGCATGCCACGTCAACTTGACAAAAACAACTAAGCCCAAAAAGAGAGAAACCAACGGCAAAAACGACTAGGCAACAAACACATTAGCAAGGAGCCAAGACACACCTCTTCAAGAGAGGGCGGTGGCCGAGGCCACCTATGTTTGAGTCAAGAGGTATGGCACCGCGAAGATTTTAACCTTGGGCCCATGACCAAAACTCGTCCTTGAAGCACAAGTACCATCGAAGATGGTTAAAGTGAAAGACTTGATCAATTTATGCATAAAGGGGGGAGGGAGAGTTCATTGATAGAACAACACTCCCCAAAAATCCATGCCTACACCTAAACTAGACAACATGTTGAGTGCGGTGGGATGTGCATGGGTTCAAGATACATTGCTCGAATCAATGATATTTAGCTCATGCCTTAACTCGCGAAATCTTGCTTCATCCACGGGCTTCGTGAAAATATCTGCAAGGTTATCATGAGTGTTGACATACTTGAGCTTGATCTCCCCTCGCCTAATGTGATCCCGGATGAAGTGATATCGAATCTCAATATGCTTCGTCTTGAAATGTTGCACTGGGTTGAGAGAAATCGTGATGACACTTTCATTATCACACCAAAGAGGCACTTTGTCACAAATGACACCGTACTCCTTTAAAGTTTGCCTCATCCATAAGAGTTGTGCATAACAACTACCGGCCACCACATATTCCGCTTCGGTGGACGAGAGAGACACACAACTTTGCTTCTTGGAAGACCAACTCACCAAAGAGTAACCAAGAAATTGGCACCCTCCGGAAGTGGACTTCCTATCCACTTTGTCTCCCGCCTAATCGGAATCCGTATATCCTTCAAGCTTGAAGTTTGCTCCTCTTGGGTACCATAAGCCAAAGTTTGGGGTATGAGCCAAATATCGAAAGATTCGCTTGACCGCCACATATTGGCTTTCCTTTCGTGCGGCTTGAAATCACGCACACATTCCCACACTCAACATGATATCCGGTCTAGATGCACAAAGGTAAAGCAAGGAGCCCATCATGGAATGATATACCTTTTGATCCACCGCTTTACCATTGGGATCAATGTCAAGTTGGCACTTGGTAGGCATTGGAGTAGAAGCCGGCTTGACATCACTTAGCTTGAATCTCTTTAGCATGTCTTGAGTGTATTTGGCTTGGTTGATGAAGGTACCTTCTCTTCTTTGCTTGATAT